CAACCGCCATTATTCATCATCCCCTTCCTCTGAAAAATACAATTTTTGACCTAGGGCTTGAGAGATCTTGGATTGGGAGGCGATTTAAAGGCATTTAGACACCGGATTTGATCATCTCTAGGTAAGAGCTTCACTCCAAGTTAAAAATATACGATTTTCACCATGAATTTCTTCCACATTGAGGAGATCCGAAAAATTTTAGAATGTGAAGAAAATATTGGGAAGAAATTCATGGAACTTAGTGTTGAACTCTTAGAATTATTTTTGGAAGCCATTATTTGAATATTTGAAGTATATTTTGGAGTTTTTCTAAAATCGTGCTTAGATTGATATGGCTCCACGATAAAAGAGACGGACTTGAGTTCGACGAGTCTCGAGTCTCGCTTCGTCAATGCAAAGGCTCAATCAAGATTTACTTCAGCGTTTGAAGGAAAGAAGTGTATACAAGATCGAGTTTTTAAGAGTCCGGGTGGAGAAATTGAACGAGTTATTACCGAGCGGAGGTGGGAAAACTTCTGTTACACCACCAATAAAGCTGCTGCAAATATTGTGAAATAATTCTATGCTAACGTATTCTATTTTGAAGATGGAATCGTTCAAGTGCGAGGATTTCCTATTGAATTTAATGTCGCCGGCATTAACACCTTTTACGAAGTTCCAGACTCTTATAGCTGTCATTATGAATCCTTCAATACGATGGAAGGCCCCCTGAATGATGTGATTAACTTTCTCACTAATGGGAAATGAACGTGGAAGATTAAGCAATGAGAACAGATAAATTTTTCTGCTTCCATGTTAAATGCCACCTCTAAAGTGTGGCACTATTTTATTTTCTCTACTCTATTACCAACTTATCACCATAGAGAGGTAATTAGAGATATAGTTATTCTGAATTTCTGTATTCAGAATAATAGAAATGTAAATGTGAGGAGGATCATTTTTAAGAATATATTGACTACGGCAAGGAGTGAAACAAGTGGAGGTCTAGGACATCCTGGCCTTATTTATG